ACCTACCTATCTGACAGTTGACACCAGACCATCCTGGTACACACAAGTTATCTACCTATCTGACAGTTGACACCAGACCATCCTGGTACACACAAGTTACCTACCTATCTGACAGTTGACACCAGACCATCCTGGTACACACAAGTTACCTTTATATCTGACAGTTGACACCAGACCATCCTGGTACACACAAGTTACCTACATATCTGACAGTTGACACCAGACCATCCTGGTACACACAAGTTACCTACATATCTGACAGTTGACACCAGACCATCCTGGTACACACAAGTTACCTACCTATCTGACAGTTGACACCAGACCATCCTGGTACACACAAGTTACCTACCTATCTGACAGTTGACACCAGACCATCCTGGTACACACAAGTTACCTTCATATCTGACAGTTGACACCAGATCATCCTGGTACACACAAGTTACCTTCATATTTAACAGTTGACACCAGACCATCCTGGTACACACAAGTTACCTACATATCTGACAGTTGACACCAGACCATCCTGGTACACACAAATTACCTACATATCTGACAGTTGACACCAGACCATCCTGGTACACACAAGTTACCTACCTATTTGACAGTTGACACCAGACCATTCTGGTACACACAAATTACCTACCTATCTGACAGTGACACCAGACCATCCTGGTACACACAAGTTACCTACCTATCTGACAGTTGACACCAGACCATCCTGGTACACATATACACTGGTATCCATTCTGTAGATTGGCACATACTGCATTGTTTAGACATGGACTACTTTCACATTCATTTATCTCTGTCAGTAGAAAGAAAACAAAATCAGATATTCACTCAAATTCCCATGGAAAACTGTTGGCTTCACAAATGCTATGAGGGTTATCATATGGTGTGTAAGGCAGTATGGTGATCCTGTACTACCCAGGTCAATACTATGCTTACTTACCAAGGTGACAGTTAACACCGGCATATCCTGGTCTGCATGTACACTGGTATTGGTTAATGTCATCAATACACGTCCCACCATTACTACATGGAAAACTGGCACACTCGTTGATATCTGAGCACAATAAATTTATTATTAATTATTTGTAATATCAATACATATATTTTTAATTATTCTTAGAAGCCAATTATCGATGTGTTTTCGCTTGAAAAAGTGAGTTCAGCGATAGTTAGGCCTGATAGTTAAAAATATTTTTTTTTTACAAAATGTGTAAATATAGCTGCCAATGGATGATGTGCAGACTCAGACTTTTGAGTACTTTTCAATCAAGCAATAATATTTGACAATTCTGCGCAACATCATAATAATATACATATAAACTTGTTGAAACGAAATGGCATATTTTGAGTTTAACAA